TGACCACAACCGTCACCGTGGACACGAACCTCTCCACAGCCCAGCCAGGGATCAACTACGACTTCCAGGAAGCGGTCGTCTCTTGGCCACACCTCGATGCCACTCCTAAGTCCATTGCCTTAAACCTCCCGGACAACAGCATCGCAGAGGCGGGCGTCATCCTGACCCTCCGCATGCGGTCCGGCGCCGTCGGCGCTGGAGCGCAGATCCAGATCCAGATCGCTGACAACGGCGACGGGGGCCACTTGGGTTTCACCTCGCAGCGAGTCACCCGCCCAGAGACGGACGTCCCAGAGGAGAACGAGACGTGCCTCGTGCATGTGAGGCCAGGGCGACATCGATCATTAAGCATGAAGAGCATCATAGAGATGCTATGGCAGTGGGCATCGGCATCATCATCACCATCACCATCATCATATATCATCATCATCATCATCATCATCATCACCATCAGTACAGACAGTAGATTTATCACCGTAGTGTGTGGCTATAGCTCTTGTGTGTGAGGCGGAGGGGCGGAGCCAGCGGCAGCACCAGCGCCGCCATCGGGCTCTCGCAGTGCAGCTCGGCGGAGATCCCCGCCATTTTGGAGGAGGACTTCATCTTCCAGACGGGCTCCGTGGCCTGGGAGGACGCCGACGTCGCCGAGAAGTGTGCCGTTCTGCTGTCCCCTCTATCGTCCCTGGGCCGGAACGACAGCGCGGCGGCGCGGCTCTTCGTCCTCGCGGACGCCGAGACGGAGCGAGACGAGGCCATTTGCTTCGGCATCCTCTCTGCGCAAGGCTCTGCTTCGGCGACGGCCTCAGTGACACAGCATGTTTCCGACGTATCGTCTGCTGCAAGCTGCACGCATGCAGGAAGCTGCAAAGCGCTGTGCAAGCCCACAACGATCTCGTGCCATTCATGCGACACTGCGACACCTTGTGTGCCTCTCAGGTGACATCTTTGCGGGATGGGGATTTCAGCGAGACGATGACCTTGCTGCTGCAGGACCAGGGGGCAGACGGAGGCCCAGCACAAGAGCCCTGCCCGCGCGGCCAAGCCTGCCGTCTGCAGCTCCAGAACAGCGACCTGGTGCGACAAGCTGCGTCAAAGGCCTGGGCAGCGGACAGAACGCCAGTGCTGATCCTGGCAAGCTCCTGCAACGGCTGTGGGCAGCTGGACCACGGCCCTAGGAATGCCTTCCTGGCACAGTCGACCCTGTCGCAGATGTACGATGTGGACTTCCTGGACTTTGAGGCTGTGCCTGGCCGCTACCTGGTGTGCCTTTGTGATACGCTCCGCCCCTTGAATGCCACAGGCACGTTGCCACGTCGGCAGAGTGAGAGTGAGGCGAGTGGGAAGGCCGGCATGGCGGTTGCTAGCGTGCTGATCGAGGGTGTGAGTGACGGCCAGCAGGCGACGTGCTTCCGTGGCCAGGCTTGTGAGCTGCCAACCCTCACTGGCACAGGCCTGCGGCCGGGCGACGCCGTCGCCGTTCAACAGTCTTGCGGGGAAGCTGCCTTTTTGGACGGCCTGCCAGCCAGCGGCATTGCGACGGACAGGCTGGGCACCGGAAGCTACACCTTTGGCCCGGGCGAGAACGTCCTCCTCAGCGCGCCCGGGGTCTACAGCCTTTGCTTCTGCCGGCCAGGGCCCAGCAACTGCAGCTTCGGCACGGACTTCAATGCCAGGATTGGTATCTTCAGAGTGCAAGGACCGATAACTACCACCCAATTCGCCTGCACTATGAACTCGTCCTGCGAAGTGAACCTCGCCGGCATTGGCTTGATGCCACAGGACAAGGTCATCGTGTCGCGCGACTGCTCCAACCTCAGCTACAGCGATCTTCATCCACTGGGTTCCTTCAACGCCGTTGCCAGCACGCCTGATGCCTCTTCCTACTATTTGGGATCATTGGACCTCTCACAGGAAGTTTGGCACGACCTGGAGGTCTGTTGGTGTCCAGCTGGGAGCCAATGCACTGCTGCGCAGCATTTCAGGGCAGCTGCCGGCACACTTGGCCTGAGCTGTCCTTTGGATTCCTACTGGCCCACGGGGGCGGCTGGAGCCCCGGAGCCTTGGGGGAGCTGCGAGGTCTGCCGGGATTTCAGAAGACCCTTGCCGCAGCAGCCGTTGGCAAGGCGTCTTGTGTTTGCAAGACCAAAAGCGAGGATGATTTGGACTTCCAGGAGACCCAAGACGGCAACTGCGGCTGCCAGGACTCCTTCTTCTGGAACGAGGCTGAGTCCAGATGCCAGGCATGCACGGATGGGCAGAACTGCCAGTGGAACAACGTCTTCGCGAACAGCTTGCACCCGCCTGAGCTCCAACCCGGCTTTTGGGCAGAGCCAGCAGCCGAGCCCTTCAGAGGCCACTCGGTGTACAGGTGCTTCAACACCATCACCTGCCCTTCCACCAACAGTGCTTGTGCCCCGGGCCGCCACGGCAAAGCTTGCAGCCTGTGCTTCCCTGGCCACTTCGGATCGCACGACGAGCCCTGCAGCAGCTGCGGCGACTCCACTCCAGAAGAGAACAGGCTGCAATTCGCAGCTGTGTTTGTGCCCGCCTCTCTTCTCGTGACCTTGCTGGCGCACCTCGCCTTTCGCCGGAGCTCCCAGCAGGCCAAAGTCAAGGTGCCTCGGAACACAGAAGTGGATATTAATATAGGAGCTGCCTCTTTTGTCTCTGTTTCTCCGAACCAAAATGCCATCAAGCTCCAAACGTGCCCAAAACTCAAGCGAGGCCAGTGGAATCCTGACGCCTCTAATCACATCGCTGGAGCCGCTCCGGACCGCCTTCGGACAGGTCTTCCAGTACATGCAGCTGATGAGTGTGGCCGGATGCTTACCGATGTATGCATGTCACGGGTCTAGAGTGTAGACAAAAGTTGGGCACATACATATTTGCAGCTATTTCGTATGTCTAGTCACCATCATGTTTATGTTGTTTTATACTTAATCAGCGCTTAAGACATGATCGTCATTTACGTTTATATATGCTTGTGCATGTATAATGTATCCATGTACTTATGTGTTGTCAATGTATTTATGTACTTGTTGTTTGCATTCTCTCATATACCTGGTTTAGATTTATGAGGTTTCGACTCGCATGTTTATTGTTTTTCACACATGTACATGAGTATATGTATATGTGTATGTATCACTCACTCACTCACTCACTCACTCACTCACTCACTCACTCACTCACTCACTCACTCCGAAGACAGTCTTCAAGCCGAGCAGGGGGACTTAGCCCCGGCGTGTTGGCAGCTGCTGGGCAGACCAACAGCAAGTAGCAACGTTGGTACGGGAGACAACGGGGGTTAGGAACACAGCCTTCCTGCAAGCACACGACAAAGCCGAACAACAGGCAAAACAGCTGTGTCCGTACCCCGCCCCACTGGTCTTTTGCCAGTTCGTTTACTGCAATGCATCCAACAATTCTTGGATCTGTCGCTCTAGCCCACCACGAGGGGCTTGTCCGAGCTTACGCTTCGCGCCGCTCGCAACAAGGGCTCGTTCCAGTGACTCAAACACTGTACACCAGTCACTCCGGCAAGCCAAGTGTAACTTCACCGTTCCTTTATCCCATGCTTTACGAAAGCGAGCAACATGAACATGCAGCGCAATGGAGTTTGGATCTGAGCCAGGCTTTGTGATACCGTCAAAATGCTCTTTGAGAATGTCTGCATCCTCCTTGGTCGTCGCACTCCCCACTGCAGCATTCACGATGGAAGCCCACACATGTACATGAATAGGCCCCAATGCATCGATCTTTCTTTCATTGCCCTGTACTGCTTTCATTCTCTCCACATGGTTCTTTGCAGCATCACTTCCCGCAACAGCGATGGCACTGTCGCGAGGGGCAATGAATGTACACAAGATGGCAGATTGCAGCTCTCTGATTTCCAACGAGTTTTTAAGCACAATTTGGCAAGCATCTCGAGCATCTTCTTCTCCTTGCTTGCAAGTCCCTCTTCATCCTGAACCCGCTGTTGCTTCACAGGGCGTGCACCTTCTTGCGCCTGTTGAAACCATGACATCGTGATGACTACACTATAAAGCTCAAGACCTCGACACTTGTGGAAAATGCTGCGCGATGCACCGTAGCAACTCATGGAGCGACGACTTCTCGTCATCACAGATGGGGCATACCAAGACCTTTGGCGGGATAACCATCGTGCATGTAACACTGCCTGCACCAGTACACCGAAGCACCCGAAGAGTATTGCATATGTGATTTTGTGCAGTCCGAATGCTCGTAAACACATGCTTGCAAAATGGGCATTGATTACACACAGCTGCGCGTACATGTGGCTGCACATGTCCATGCGTACCTCCTTTGGTTCTTCGCTGGTGCATAGCCAACGCTTGTGCGGTCCCAAAAGTAGCCGTGCATGTACTGCCATCTTCGCACTTGCAATCACAGGCAAACGACTGCCCCTCTTCCTCATCGCCACCCACCTGATCCTGCATTTGTCGCTCCTCACTCTGAGGCCTGGAGACGACACCAGGAGGAGGAACACAAACGGAAAAGAAAGACGAGCGAAGCTCAGTACAATCAATAGCCAGGAAATCTGCCCGATAGTTTGTGAATACAAGGAAAAACCTATCTCCGATGCCATGTAACCGCTCGGCAGCCGAATCCAATTTAAGCAATGCGACCATATCGTCTTGGAATTGATCAACCCATGGGTTAACACTAACAGCAAAACCACCATCATCCCGGACTGTGGCTGTCGAATCCCAGTGCAGCTTGCCAAACACGACCGCCAATACAGTCTTGTGAAGATGAGGGCATTTTGCCACGGACTGCCAATACTGAAGTCTTCGAACACATAGCTCCACCCTGGCCGGCACAAAACGAAGAAGCTTGCACACATCGTCATCAGGCATCGCTCGGTACAACGTTTGTCCATTCTCCTGGAGTGTTTTTTGCATGCTGCACCCCGCAAAACCTTTCGAGCAAACTTGTTGACAATAGAATCCAAGCGTCTGTATTCAGATTCTCTGAGACGTAGGGCCTCCAGACCTGAAAAGGCCACTCCACGGACCATTGCCCCGAAAACAATAGCAGCAGGTCGTAAAGATTTGTTGCGAGACCAAAATCTCCCCATTGCGTAGAAACCTTTTTCAACTGCAGCTTTGCGTGCTCCGAGTTCGCAATGATTGCTCCCCTTAAACTGTTTGTATCCACCCAAGTACTTTGCGCATGTACACCGCTTGCCAGGTAGTACTCCATGCTTGTAGACATCCGCGTAAAAACCAGATGACCCCACCCCTGCAAAGAAAGCTGCTGAACACCAATCGAACCCAACGAACTATCCAAAATGTCATTGGAGTTAACCAGCTCAGCGGCCATTGACTCACTGCTATCAGCCAAAGTGCATCGTGCCACATCATCTGCGTATGTGCTGAGCGAAACATCAAGTACGTTATGGCTGAGGGGGTCCTGCATGTGTAGTTCAGGCTGTGTGGTGCGATCTCGCCATTGGTCAACAGCAGGATGATACACTTCGAGAAAATGCCCGCAAGCAACACAATCACCTTGTAGCCCACCAGACCCGGGTTGAACACATAGCACACCATTTCTTGCTTCAATTTGCATGTAAGTTCGCGAATGCCTCTGCTGTAATAGTTCCACGTCATCAGGTCTTGCAACTTGGTGCACAGCCATCTCCAATGCTTGCCTTGTCGGACTGGGAAACGCATTGGCAACGTCATAAAGTGACAGTACATGTGACATTTTGTGTTGCCTGAGCCTGTGTAATAACACTTCTTGTTGCAACATTGAATCGATACGCGACTTGTTCCGCAGATATCCCGAGGCGTAGTCCCGAAAATGTTGATGTTTCCCCCGTTTCCAGAGCGTGTCGTAAAACCACTTGCCCAGCACATCCAAGTTGTTGATGAGTCGCAATCCTGCAGGTCCCGACTTACCATTCCCTTTGTCAAGCTCTGTCGCGAAGCTACGTTGCCAAACCACAGGAGTACGCCCATACATCCGAATGGAAACCAACACCTTGAACATAGCACTGTGGAACGATACGGATCTGGAGAGTGCCAACTTGTATCCAACGCCGGCCCTTTTTTGTTCCATACGCCATTCCGGAAGTAAGAGTTGGCGCCACACCTCGGCTGGAAGACCCCAGGGAGGAACAGACTTTCGCAGTTTACCGATTTTTGCCCTCGATTGAAGTGCGCGTAGGTCTTGACGTGCAAGTCGTAACGAGTCTTCCAAAGAATGACGGGGGCTGTCATCCATTTCCGCGGCATGAGCAACCTGGTCCCACTCCACAACCGTCGCAGAACACCCACCCTGTGGCCCAGGCAACTGCAGGAAGTCTTTCCATTCTGAAACCGCCGGTCGCACAGATTTAGGAACATCATATTTTCTCCGTTTCGGGCCCACCCTTTTTCCCGACAATAATCGCGAAACTTCCCATACCTGATGCATGTCACGAATCCACCATGCAGCTTCAAACTCTTTGAGTAGAGTGTTTTCTCGGTTTTGTGCATCCCGTTTTGTACAGGTGTCAACAGCTTGTCGAGCTTTCCTGAAAACAGTGAGTCTCCTCCACACGTGCAGCATGTCATGCAGAGATTGTTGCAAGAATACCGTGTCCCCACCATCCCAACGACCATGACCATGCCCAAGACAAATAGTCTGGTAGGAAACCAAACTTTTCTTTGCTTCCAACATGTTCTCGATGGCCTCCTCCGTGTCCGTAGGTCTCGGCACAACCTTTTTTGCTGTAAGCTGGTAGACATCAACTGCAGCATCACGTATTGCAGAGTTGAAAACATGCCACATCTTGTCCGGATTGGGTATACTAGGTATGTTAGCAAGTGCACTCTGCAAATGCTGATCAACCCGCTTAAACAGGTATTCCCTTCCAGTACCATGCAATGCGTCTTCCACCAGACGCGTCCTATCCCACACAAACTTTGCCGTCGCCGGTGACTGCTCATATGACAAACCAACTTCAATATCGATTTGCAGAGGTAAGTGGTCCCGCCTCGCAATATCGTTAATGAGCTGTAGCCTATCCGATGCTGAATACTGAATATGACATCTCCGTACGTTGTGCAGTGTAGCAGTTGGTACACAAATGTAATCAACACGAGTCTTATGCCTTCGAGGTGGTGGGCCGTAGAACGTTGGACCAACATCAAAGTGTGTATTGACAGCAGATAAGTATTGAGAAGAAAGAAAGTCCACCAACAAAGCCCCGTTGAAGTTCTGCAGCTCGGGTCGATAATATCCAACCTCTTCACTTCGGGATGGTATAATTTCACCTCCAGGACCCCGTACAAGACCAACATGAGCATTGGCATCCATGCAAACAATGGGAGTGCATCTTGCAGGCAATCTTTCAACAAATCCACGTATGTATCTCCAAAGCTGTATGTTGCGATGCTGTTGCTTTTGCTTCTGCGGCTCCGTGTACATGTAGGCAGAGATGAGGCAAAGGTCCAGGTCTCCCCGCTGCAAGCGCACAGCTCCAAACCGCCCTTGAAAATCAAGAGGAGGATTGAACACACGGGACACATTTCGCTCCTGGAAGACCCTTTTGGCAAGCACGATAGCAACCCCTGCTGCTTTGTTCTCTTGCCCTCCCTTAGCACCCCATTCATACCACAAATGTTTTGCTGATCGTCGCAGTACACACGGCTCATCGGTGACAAACTTGGCCAAACCCTGTAGGCATATGGCATGCGATCTCCCCAGCTCCCGTAAGATTGTAGTGCGTCGAACTTCATCTTTGGCAGCCAGAGGATTGTACGAAGTAATAAGTAGGCGCATTTACGACCAGCCCCAACAACCATCATTCATTGCCCCCCCCTGCGTGCACTAGCGCACTCAGCGTCGGTTACCCTACCTCACCTCAACTTGTGCAGAAAGGGCTCTATGTGTATGTATATATATATATACACATACATACATACATACATACGTACATATCTTTATATACATATGTATGTGTATCTATAATGTTCGCCCTCCCCTCCCCCCAACAAACAACAAAAATCTACGCCTCAAAGGTGTCCTTCTTCGAGGTGCGCTGGCCGTCGCTTCTGCAGTCACTCTGGGATGCGATCCGATCTTTCACCACCAATCTGGCGGCTCGGATCGTGATATACGGAGATCTTTTCGAGAGGGCGGCTCCATGTTTTGGGTTTTTTTTAGTTAGGTGATCAGAGACGGGAGAGACAAGAGCTGCTCCTGATTTCCGTATATTATGCCCTAAAGCCTGAACCTTGAGTCATTGAGATGCCCAGTTGTCCATCCCGAACCTCGGCTGCATGACTTCACAGCAGAGCGCTTTGACGACAATGTCTTGCACCTATGCACTGCCCTTTGTGCTGATCCTCATCTCCTTGAGCTGGTCCGGCATCACGTGGCTCTTGAGTGCCATTCTGGCAGAGTTGCCCGGTGAACATGCCCAGTCTTGGAAAGGAAACGTGCGCATACCCGTCCGCGAGATCATGAAGATGGTTGTTTGGGTGACGGCGCTCTTCTTCAACACGCTCCTTCAGAAGGGCTTCCTTATGTTCACTTGCACGAGGGGTCCCAACGGCGTCCCGACTGTCGTTGCCTACCCCCACATTGAGTGCCCAGGTGGGTCTTCTGCGAGCCAGGAGTGGCTGGAGATTTTTCCGATTGCCGTGATCTATTGCTGCGTCCTTTGTGTAGCTTGATTTGCATTCATCCGGGTTGTGATTTCATTGATGGGCTCCCCATGTTCTGGTGCTGCTAGCAATCACATCATATCGAATCCATCTTCTCGTCAGTGCTACTTTTGCCATGAATGTTTGATTGTCAACCACCACGATGACGACAGTTGTGAATGATAAACCCTACCCTAAGCTAAACCCTGAAAGCCCCAAAAACCCGAATCATGTTACGTCATAAACCCTGGAGCCTAAGCTTCTTTCCTGAACCCTTATCAGGCGAAGGAAAAGAGGTGTTAAAAAAAAGCTTCTTTCCTGAGAAGCTTCAAGAAAAGCCCTGGATCCGAGGTTGCCTTCCTGGGCTCCGTCTTGTATGGGGCTCGGCGTATCATGCAGAGCCTGGCGACCTCGAAAGAGAGAGGGACATGGTCCTTCTTGGCCGCGGACTTCCGCGACTCCCACGTATGGTGGGCGTGCTTCAAATTATAAGGGCAGGTATCGGCAGGGCAATCTTGAGCCTTCGATTGGTGAAGTGGGTTTGGTTCGGAAGTCTTCTGAGCACCGGGTTTTTGGGCGCAAGTGCTGGAAAGCACCTCAGCTCAGGTGGCCAGCGACGAAGCTGCTCAGGGATTTTGTGATCAACATCGGTGCGGCGGTTTTGTCCAATCTCGGGCTTCTCGGAGAAGAACTTGGGTTAGATGTGCAGGCTTGACTTTTCCAGGGCCTTAGTTGGACGTCGAGCACTCATCGTCAATTTTTCCGTGACCGACCGTCAGCATGGCAAGAGGACTCGGAACGGGCCTGTCTCGAGTTTTCTCTGGGCACCATATTCTCTACGCCCCTACAAACTTCTTGAATTCTCAAGGCATCCATTGCCAGCCGAAGAGTAAGGCTGGACCCCTAAATTGAGCCTAAACGTACTTTGTGGAAGTGTCGATGAGCCACAAGTCCCGTTGAGCGCCTGGGTTTCGCCACTTCTGTTGCCTCCCGCGCTCAACTCCCAGGTCTGTGCAGCTCCTGCTGACGGCATTCATCACCGCTGCGTATGCACAAGTCTGCTTTTCCAGCCATCCATACCGCAATCGATTGAACAACCTGCTTGAAGCTTGGTGTGCTTTCGCTGCAACCCTCACTTGCATCGTCACAGTTTCTATGGGATTTGCATCAGACCTCCGTGATGCTCCCTCAACCACAGAGCTGCTGGCACGATGGTTGGACGACAAGGACAACATAGAATCGAGCAACTATCGAGTGCAGACCATCCTGGTCGTACAGATTATATCTCTCGCCGGTGTCGCCGTCCTGGTTTTGCTTTTGGGCCTCAACAGCATTCCGGCGATACGCAGTCGACTCCCGCCCGCTCTCAGTCAAGACATTGACACCACACAGACTGCCAAGGAGGTGGTGCTCTGAAATGAGGGATGGTTTGCTTGCAGGGCTTCTCACTTAGACTTCAATTACTCGCAACGCAGTTTCAAGTTGAGTGACGTGGAATATGGCTTGACAATACAGGCTGCATCACACCTGTTGTTAGAATTAGTCATGATTCTTGCTTTTTTTCTTTTCTTGTCACTGCCGCCGCGACCACCACTCCGATGACGACGACGACGCCGTGCGAGGCCCCTCCTCCTTCTCCTCCTCCCCCTACAATTGCTGCTGGTGCTGCAGCTGCAACAACAATCGCTACAACAACAGCAGCTGCTACTACTAGTACTCCTACTGCTACGGCTACTGCTACTGCTACTGCTGCTCCTACCACAACAACAACAACAACTACTACTACTACTACTACAACTGCCCGCATCATCATTTTCGCTGGTATGTTGACTACAACATCGCAAAAGTAATGTAACTACCGAGTACACTGGAGGTGCTCTTAAACCCTGCGTTGCTGCGGAGCATCCATGTCCGAACCATGACAGCGTGGTGTTCACAGAAAATATTCTTAGACGATAGCTGCCCCCGTGTTTTTGCTTCCCTTCAACCGTTTTTTTTGTGGTGGGGGTATAATGGCGTACAGGCTTGAGCTGGCCTTAGCAGAGGTACCGGTGCTACTGGCAGCGGCGCAGCGGCATTAGCAGTGGCAGAGCCGCGTGTGTGAGCAATCCAGACAAACTCAAACTGCTTGAAGCAGCTGACACTATGGGACAGTGCAAGTCCGAGCAAAAGTCTAAGATTTCCTCCGCCACGGCGAGACGTGTGTCTGAGAACATTTTGTGAGAACGTTATCACGGTTCGGACATGGATGCTCTGCGGCAACGCACCGCATGGCACCAGACGTCATCCCCTCCCGCAACCACCCGCACCCCACTCCCGGCCCGCACCCCCCTCCACCCAAAGACCCCCCACAACAACCCCAAAGTGCCGTATAGTGATGTGAGAACCAAAATTGCTTTCCGTATTTCCGACAACAACAACAACTAGTACCACTACTACTAAATACACTACCACTACTACGACGACGACGACGACGACGACGACTACTACTACTACTACCACTCCTACTTACTAGTAGTAGTAGTAGTAGTAGTAGTAGTACTACTACTACTACTACTACTACTACTACTGCTACTACGACGAGGAGGAGGACGACGACGACTACTGCTGCTACTGCGAGTGTGACTGCGCGTTTCCACTAGCCTGAGCACCAGCAAGACCACGACCACCACGACCACCACCGCCACGGCCACGGCCACGACCACTACCACTACCACAACGACCACGTCTTCGACACGACTACTACTTCGAATACGACTCAGGCGACGACTGCGATGACGACGAAGTGCTACTCCAACTGAACCCTGAGGTAGTCTTCAAGCTTGAGACGAGTCTGCTGAAGTGCGACAGCCTTGATCTGCTTCAACTACAGTCGCTTCTCACGCGACGAGGCGGTACCACAAGGTGGGGTGCCGCAGATTCAGTTTTCGATGATTTTGGAGCAGCTTGGGGATAAGGCTTAATGTGTTCAGTGTTTGCGGACTGGGGTTTTGGGCAGAGAGCACTGCTTGCAGAAAGATCGTAATATCCCTACCTGACTGCTCTGGAGTGCTGGCTACTCGTAATATGAAGTCAACACGGTGAAATCCTGGATTCAACTTCCCATCCCTCCCCCATGGGAACAACCGAGTATATCAATCATTGGACGCCAGCATTCAGAAGCTCCCAGCCCGCTCCAATCTGCACCTGAAGGATCGCAAAAGTACTCACGGAAAATGTGGGGCTGAATGCTGTGCTCAGCCGGACCTCGTCTGCTCTCAGCCCTTCGTCAGAGCCGGAGCCTTGTCTCGGCAAACTGTTGCGGAAAAGGTACCATGAGGTTCATGCGGTATGAAGTGGGGCTTGTCTTGGGGTATCAGCTTTGGCGAGTGTACTAGCATTGAAAACCATACATCAAATCCGACCAAGCCTCAGGTGTAGCACACTATGCAGCTGCGAGAACAAGGGGTTTATCCGTACAAGAACGTGTTACATGATGCCCGAAGTTCGCCGGAAACACGAGAAATCTGCAGCAACTGTGGCTTGTTATTGTCTGTGCCGCAGGTTGCAGTCAAAGTGCAGGCCAAGGATATGAATTTTCTAGGACGTTTATGGCAAAGCATAAACTGGTCGCCTTTCAGACTCTCAAGTTGGCATACCTTCGCCAGCTTTTTATGCATTGTCAGAACCTTCCACGAAACCTATGCCGTACTTGAGAGCCAAAGCAAGCAGCTGAGGAAGAGCTTTGCCTGCCGAGTTTGGCCGGCAAGCAGACTGATGATGATGTAATCATCCGCGAGTCCACGATGGCAATATGATTTGCAGCGCGATGTTAATGCAAAATCTAGTCTCGTCCCCTAGGTCCTGCCGTGAAGATAGCAGTATAGGTACTGTAATCATGGCTTTGGCAACCGCAAAAGTAGCGGTCCTGCAATGCGATTGCAGCAGAAAGCCAGGCACAGTTTCCTCCACGACAGCAAAAGCTTCAACCACAACACAACGACTACAACAGCAAAAGCAAAGGAAGCAGAAATAGCAGGAGTGGAGCGCACCGTCATGATATTGGTAACCTCCATCGTCATCATCTTCACGTGTAGTAGAACAGCAGACGACGCAGAAACACAAGTTTGCAAGAGTAGGACATGTGATGACCTGTGACGAGCCAGCAAGTTAATGCCTTGTGCCGGCTGCGGTCGTTGTAACCTTCCGGCGCTCGAATGCCCTGTTCCTTGAATTCTGTCCTTAGCCTGTGTCTTTCTTTGGCTACGTTCCCCATAATTGGGGGCCAGCTTTCGGCGAATTCGGGCAGACGTGGGATACCCCGTGAGACGCATTGCTTCTTGCAGGGCACAGCTGGCGATCGCAACATAAAAGAATTGGAGCGGGCACGCATTGGCTTGCAATGCTTCCTCGAAGACATTGGAGACATATGTCTACCATGCAGCCACTTGAAGGGGCAGACAGACTCCCAGGGAACACACAAAGGTAAGTCGCCCTACCCAAATAGAGAGCGGCTGGACCTGCGCTTTGCTCTGACGGCCGCGAAGCGAAGAGCTGCAGCAGGCGAAAGGATTGAGGCGGAAAGGTAAAACATAAATAAATTAAGATAAGACAAGATAACATAATATGATATAACACAATAGACTAAGATTGAGAAACAACTTAAGACCAACAGCAGCGAGACGAGCAGCAACGATAACGACAGTAAGAACAACACAACTTTGACAGGAGCAAGAAGAAGGCAGGAACAACATTAAATATAACCGTGACAGCAAGAAAACAGCGCAACATCAGCAAGCCATGAATCATCGATTGTTATTCCAGTTGTCTTCGCTGTTTACCGTGCAACCATGCTCATCGTCATCATGTCTTTCGCCGATGTGATCATGCGTGTCATCATGCCTCCGTCCGGTTCGTTGTCGCTCTCCTATCCTCATCATGTCGGCAAATTCTAATTCTACCCGTGCAGGGCTGTCGGAAGAAGCACCGCAAAGCGAAACCAATGGCAGAAGCTCAGGCAAAACCCTGAGGAGCCGACCGCTTGGTAGTCG